CTAATAAAGAAACAGAGAAAAGGTAATAAAGAAACAGCGAAAGGGCAATAAAGGAACAGAGAAAGGGTAATAAAGGAACAGAGAAAGGGTAATAAAGGAACAGAAAGGGTAATAAAGAAACAGAGAAAGGGCAATAAAGGAAATTTAAATGCAACGATTCTGACTTGAAGATGGCGATTATCGTTGCATTTAAATTTTTGAAAATTGTAGTTGTCAAGGAAGCAAGAAACCGGAAGTGAGTTCCTGGGATGAACAGTTTGTGGAAATAAAAGTATTAAAATCGAACTTGCGGTTACATCGATCTATTCTCACAGCAATAGCCAATCTATTTGTATGCTTAAAATCTGTGCGGTCGAAGCATCAATATGGCGAGCTCATTAGAATAAGTGTCATAAAAATATTTATAGAAAAATAAAGGAAGGCATGTCATGGCATTAGGGAAGTGATTGAAGTCAAGATGCCAGATCAACATCGATACAATTACATGAATGAATGGTAGATTTATAAAGGTGCAAGATGCATTCTGTCCAGAGAAAAAAAAAGCCTGCCATGCCACAGTGAACAAACCTTCTTAGCAGCTGACCTAGAAATTGATTCAACAGAATTCATGTCATGTCAGTAGAAAACGTGAGATCAAGATGTGTGTGTCCGTGTGGAAACTTGTTAGTGCATGGGTGCCTGGCCATTGTCATGCTATAAAATAAAGATACGGCTTAACAAAAGGCGCATTCAGTTCTACAGAGTGGTTCAAAAGCCTTTGTAGCCTCTACATAATATAATTTTCTATTTCAGATGGATGACATCAGCTCCTACACGAAAACGATGATCTTCATACAGACCTTCTCGATGCTTGACAGCGTCAATGTAAGTGAATAAACTGAATCTAGTACATATGTTTCGTATTACTGTATTATTCTTCTATTGTTCTCGTTACTTTTTGGTAGGGGGGGTGGACATGACTTTCGGACCGCTCTGTATATTATTTAGGTGTGGATTATGAATTTTAAATGTTTTTATGTTAAAAGTGAAAATGAAGGAAACTTACCCATTGCACCCTACAGTCGACTCTCCCATCGAGATTCGACGTATGAGGGTCAAGCAGATCAGTTCTCGAGAAACCGACAGCCCGACAACAGCACATGAGATTTGATTATAGTGGTGAAGGTTTTGTGCAAGACCAGCCACACTTTTTGAAGGGCTGAATACAGACCTCGTGCACAAAGTGCCACAATGTCCCCAAACGACCCTCTGCAGGTTTTGAATTCAGAGTTGTCCTTCTCCTAGACCAGTTGCCATCCAAGGCTATAGAACCCAGTCTGTCCTGCTATTTACCCATAGCTGGAGGGAGAAGAAGAGGATTCACACCTTTCCCAAGGGTTATAGGACATTAGGGAATGTAATGGGATTCGACTGGAATTGAACTCGGCTATATATATATATATATATATATATATATATATATATATATATATATATATATGTGTGTGTGTGTGTGGGTGTGTGTGTGTGTGTGTGTGTCTTTCTACAGGGTGGTCCGAAAGTTTTATCACCCCTAATATAATTTTCTATTTCAGATGGCTGCCACGAAAATGATGTTATTCATAGAGACCTTCTCGATGTGTGACAGTGTCAATGAAAGGGAATCAACTGAATCCCGTACATGTGCTTTGTATTACTGTATTGTTCTATTGTTTTCATTACTTTGCGGTAGTGGGTGGCAAGACCTTCGGACCACCCTGCACAACAAATCAGTCTTCGTTCCAGATCACAAGCTGACATCGGCAAAACGATAAAAAATATACGACCTTTTTATTTAGTTAGTTCCCCGTTTATGTGTTTAGATGGTGTAATCGCTCGTTCTCTGTCAACAGAAATTCTGTACAATATAGGTTTATTAGCAAACCATAATGACATCAGTCGTGTTTTCCACACTGCAATCCCTTTCCCACAAACGAAAAGTTGCTCATCTCTCGCTAATCTCTCGCTATTTGATCGCAAATGTTCAGACGGTCTACATCCCTGAGTTTTCTCAGTTCCGACCTTCACAGCTAAGACCCACCATGCCACGGACACAGAGTCGACTCATCCTCATTCCGCTTGTATCCCACGGTAAAGGAAAAAAAAAAGTTCTACAGCGACTGCTTCTTCCCCAACACTGTTACTTTGTGAAAGAGACTCCAGAATGCTTCCCCGATCATTACAATCTTAACATCTTTAAGTCAAGGGTCAACCGTTATGACCTCGTCGTCAATCGGCTATGGTGATTTTCTAAACATAGCATAAATTTGGTATAAAGTATGGGGCAGTTGCTGAGGATCGAACTTACTATCCAATCGTAATTGTTCTAGCCAGACAAGCTTGCTAACCATTACGCTACGGCGATGTAACTAATTCTAATGAGAGGTCTTTATTCAAGTTTCACCCGTGTATCATATGAAAATAGACCCTCGTGGTCGAATAATGTTACTTTTAAAGTGTGTGTCCGTGATCAAATGATTCTTTTTCGGTGTGCTGTGTCTCTTCAGGGATTTTCGATCATGGCTTCCCACAACTTCCTGTCTCTTGTAGCTCGTAATAACATTCGTCTTGTTGCCTTCTCTCCCAAACTCTGCTCTGCCATCCATTCATCCAAGTCCGCCAATTAGGTTGCGCTTTCGTTTCCTCTGTCTTGCCTCCAATCTGCCCCGTGCGTATCAAATTTTCCAAGCCCTCCTTTCTCATTATATGATCCAGAAATGAAGCGACGGTCATCACCCAGCCAGAAAATAAAGAAAGGGAAAAAAGTATCGACTGGATTCAAACACACACACACACACTTACTGACAGTGGCTGAAGCAGCAATGCTAAGTCAGAATCGCTAACATTGTAGATTCTTCTTTGTATTTTAACAAGAACCTTTAAATGCATAGCAGAATCACCAGATGTGCCAACAATCATCATCATCAGGTTGAGAATTCTTCTCGGATTCTCTTGACACGTTCCTTCCAACCATCTCTGTCAGACATCACTGTCGGCAGGTCCTACAAATGGTATCCAGAGTCATCCACAAGTTGGTCAATGTAGGTGTGATGAGGTCTTCTAACCGATCTTTTGATGCGCAATGGGTTCCATAGGAACATCACATGTTATGATTGTCAGATACTTATTCTTCTACTTCTACTTAGGTTGAGAATTATTGATTTTTGACTAGGATTTACTTTCATCTTCACTTTTTATTACATGAAGCATTGTCAGCCATTATTATTAATTTTTGACTAGGATTTACTTTCATCTTTATTTTTTATTAGATGAAGCATTGTCAGCCATTATTATTAATTTTTGACGAAGATTTGCTTTCATCTTCATTTTTTTATTAGATGAAGCATTGTCTAACATTATTAATGATTTTTGACTAGATTTACTTCATTTTTCTTATTAGCTGAATCATTGTCAGCCATTTTTGACTAGTATTTACTTTCATCTTCATTTTTTTCTATTAATATAACATATTAACAAACATTCTATTTTTCCTCCTTTCTGCTTTGGTATATTTCCTCGTCTAAAGCGTTACTTTCTCTCGCTCTATTTATTTGTTTAAATCACCAACCCTCTCTCTATTTATTTAATCCCTCGCTTATATTGTTGCTCTTTTCTTCGCGTTTCCCGTCCCTTCCATTTTGTCAATCTGCTTCCTTTTTGACAACTCATTTCCGCTTTCTCTATCGCAATTTAACTTTACCTTTTTTCTCTCCGTTTTATTAATTTTACTTTTTTATCCTACTGACGTTGACCTTCTTTATACTTTTTTTTTACCCGATTCATAACTGACTCGGTACAGAGACCCTCTACACTAAGTGGGGGACAGGCAGTGACCCAGTTCAACAGGCACACATTCAAAAGCGTCGAACGTTTCCTATTGTCGACATCCCACTTTTTATGGGAGATTTGCATTTCACTGGTAACCGATTTAAATTTTGCATTATCGTTTAATAATAATAATAATAATAATAATAATAATAATAATAATAATAATAACAGCAATACCAACAACAAATAATAATAATAACATCAATACCAACAACAACAAATAATAATATTAATAATAATAATACCAGCAATACTAGCAACAAATAATAATAATAACAGCAATACCAACAATAATAATAATGACAGTAATATCAACAACAACAAATAATAATAATGGTAATATATCATGCCGAGATTTTTCATCCACTGAATATAAAATTCGACATTGAAGGGATTCATCCAGCTCCATGCCTTAAAAAAGTACATAAAATTCTACTCACAAATTACGAAGGGTTTTATCCATTTAAAATGTGTGATCTTATTATTTTTTTTTTTTAAATGATCAGTGTAGGATGTCATGAAGCCATTTCTGACCTTAGGTCTGTAGTTGGGACCCGGAAGGAAATGTGTATACAACAGAAATCCAAAGAAATAATAATAATAATAATAATAATAATAATAATAATAATAATAATGACAGAGTGGGCCAATATCTGCACTGGAAAATCTGCAACTTCTACGGGAAGAAAACTGAAAGAAACTGGTATGAACACCACCCAGACCCTGTTACGGAGATAGGACCTGTTACAGTTCTATGGGACTACACAATACACACTGACAGAACAATCAAGGCCAACCGCCCAGATATTGTTATTAAAGACCACAAACAAAAACGGTGCCTCCTTATTGATATGGCAGTCCCTGCCGACTGCAATGTATCTTTGAAGATATTCAAAAAGTTGTCAAAGTACAAGGACCTTGAAATAGAAATGTGCGAAAATGTGGCATATGGGAACATCAACAATCCCTGTTGTAGTTGGAGCCCTAGGACTGGTTGGAAAAGATTCCAGTAGACTAATTGAAGGGATTCCTGGAAGTCCATGCCTCAAGGAGATACAGAAAATTGTTACGAAGGGCTTTATCTATGTAATCTTTTTTTTTTTTTTGTCAGTGGAAAGTGACATGACGCCATTTCTAACCTTAGGTCCCTGGGC